TACTCAACCTTTTTCTTCCAAGCAAAGCTTACATCTATCCCTAGTGTTTTTACATGTACAACGCTTAATAATATCAACTACGAACATGGACGCAATATCGTGACCGTGTTTTGAAAATGAAAACATTTTATAAATACATATATACAATAATCTATTTATTATTAATAGTTAAGATATTTCAACCCTGAAAATGGTTAAATGTATAGGTGAATGCGCTCGGATAAAAAGTCCGAGTTGGACAGTTTTTATATAATCATCTGAAAATGAAACATTTATTAGATTACATGAGAAATTGTATAAAAACATAAATCAAAGCATATTGTCTGCTGTATCCAATGAAATGTGCATAAAAGAAGGATTGCTGCCTAAATACACACACACACACACACACATATATATATATATATATATATATATATATATATATATATATATATATATATATTAAGGCAGGCATGATGTGTGTGTGTGTGTGTGTGTGTGTAACGAATGCACGGCCGCAATTTTCGACGGATTTTCACCAAAATTTACATGCACATGCTTCAAGTTAGTGGAAAGGCCAAGACTGACTTTGATTTCTCAAGTCCCATCGATAGTGGAAATAATCGATTTTTTAATAGTTCTACGGCAGTTTTCATGTAGTTTGCGGCCATTTTCTACTGGCCAGAGTGAGAGCTGGCTGCCACGAAGAGGCAGGAAGATTCTATTGGCCAGCGTGCGAGCCAACAGCTGACTGACACGAATGTTAACTAGCATGCTAGCAGTCAAAAAAATCGATAGCTACAATCGTCACAAGTGGAAAAATTTAAATCTGCATGGCACTTTACTCCTATTTTACTCATTTTGTTTAGTTCTTTTTTCGTAACAGATTTAATGTTTAGTATAGAGCTTAGAAAAAATTCGCAGTGTGAGATAGGCAAGAAGTAAGGTATGTAGCAACATCAGCACTGCAAAGGGCACTCCTTTAAAGGCAAGGAAGGGCAAAAATATTTTAAGTCAAGTGATAGCGATTGCTGTTTGAATCGTGCGATTTTTTAATCAAGTACGGGCAACGCCAGGGCATGCTGCTAGTATATATATATATATATATATATATATATATATATATATGAGTTAACGATTAAATGTGGATCAAATATGGATTGGAAACCGACAGGATGTTAAAATACAAAAAACAAATTGGAAATGTATATCAATCTAACATGTTTAACTTTTATTGGTATCCAGCGGTATTTTACTGCTATTCACTGGTATTTTTACTATTATTGGCATTCACTGGTATTTGCAATTATCTTTGTGTAAGTTCTCATTGGCCCGACACGTGAGACGTGTGTTAAAATAGAGGATAATTCAACGTGCATGTAATTTTGTGAAAATTCTTGTTTAAGTGAGCTTAAAACAAGATAAAAAACAACTAGCACAATTACAAATACACATTACCATCCGTTGCCCACTTAGACATACATGACTCTTCACAAACATACCTATACATATAATTATCCACCATTTGGCTTTTGTCTAACTAATGAAAACTGACCTAAACATAACAGAAAATGCCAGCGTTTCTGTTTTTTGTCTCTTTTCTCTCAATCTATGATGAAGCTTTAATAAAAGTGAAAGATGTTAGATTGGTATACGTTTCGTATTTATTCTTTCAATTTTGTTTGCTTTCACCGACAAGGTCAGTATGTTTAAACTTTTTTTTCTTTCAAGTACTACGAACTGTCTCAGTCCATATGATTCTGACGCGCAACATGTTATTCGAAAATTGGAAAAATACAATAAATAATTGGACAGATTTTGTTAGATTTAATAAAACTTAGATGAATCTTTGCTGCTCCTATATAACGTGTTAACCCAAACCAAAAATGCCAGCAGTTGATTATTGCTTCGGCATGAAACTCAGAGTTGTACAATTAATGTAAGGTTTTATGGTTTTTAATTATATATATATATATATATATATATATATATATATATATATATATATATATATATATATATGCATTTATATATTTATATATCAATATACATATAGATTATATATAGAGAGAGAGAGATAGATAGATAGATAGATAATGATATATATATGATATATGGATATATACATTGAAATATGTATACATATATATTGTTATATATATACTGATATACACGCACACGCACACACACACACACATATATATATATATATATATGTGTGTGTGTGTGTGTGTGTGTGTGTGTGTGTGTGTGTGTGTGTGTGTGAAAAGTGTATATAAATATAAATAAATATATATATGTATAATTATTTATATATTATATACGTACTTATTAGAAAGCGCTCAATATCAGAGATAGAGCTAACATATTTGGTTGGATAGATGTGAGTTTGTGACCCTGGGTTTCACGCTTTAGCGATCGTCATATGCATATATATTGATATATATTTATTCATATATAGATATATAGATAGATATAATGCATTAAATGTTAATGGTCAGAGTTGAATCAGACAAGGAAACAGTGGCATTAAAAAGTGCTCAATGCCCCTGTGAAAAAAATAAAATAAAAATTAAAATAACATGTCGTTCTTTAACTTTAAAAATCAGGAGATCAGTTGAATGTGCTCCATTGGGTTTCAACCTTACGGAGTCCAAAGTCCAACCCTTACCTCACAGTCGGTGCGGGGGTGTAAACGGTAGTGTCAGAGCTATGCCGCCCGGAACTTCGTTCCTGGTAGGGCCACCCAAGGCGGACAGGTCTGACACACACGCCGGCTAACAAGGGCTCTGGTGAAAATCCAAGGAGCGTCTGCATCGTTAACCGGCGGCTTCTGGTCGTTCCTGTCTCTGCGTCTGTGGGAACCCCGCGGCAAGCAAGAACGTTATCCGAGTAGGCCTGGGTACCCTACTTCTGTAATTTATCCCAAGAATCTTCTTCTCATAACAGGAAGAAGCAGGCTCAATCCGCCCAGGGTGAATGCCGCATCAGTACAGTACAGTAACCTTATGGTACCCTTCGTAATTCCTTTGTTAACGTTTTGGATACACATTTGGCAAAACATCTCTTAGTGAAGAAATGTGTTTTCCTAAAAGGGAAAAATACAAACTTGCTGTACTGTGAGGTTCTTCGTGGCCAAACGGTGAAGCACACCGGATCAAAAGGTAACGTTTCCTAAGAAAGTGAACATCATTTCGATTTCTGCCGCAGAGCACATTTTCTTCATTGAGATGTCTTGAGTATGCCGGCCAATAGACGTAATGCACATTGTTTAGTGTAAAATAAAATTGGGGCGTCAATTTCAATTACGAGTATCCACTATAATAACTTTTGAAGTAATAAAAATGCGTGATTAAAAGTAAATCCGTTAATTCTTTATATATATATATATATATATATAGTAATTAGTAGGAGGATTTGATAATTATATTTAAGTAATTCATCGAGTCTGATAGAAACCTCAACGGAATGCAGAAAGCACTGGACGGCCGTTTCGTCCTATATTTGGGACTCATCAGCAGTTCGCATCCACTACCGAGAATTGAAACCCTGACAGTTACGTTGTCAAGCGAACATCATTACCAACTGTTCCAAATGGGCCTCGGTGACGAAGAGATTCACCGAGGCCCATCATCGCTTGAACCGGCTTCTAATGCTCCAGTTGGTAGCGGCTTGGTGAGAGTAGTTGTGGCTCCAGGGGACACAGTTTTATGGTTACAGAGAACTCAGTTGAGTTCCGCCACGGAATATGTGAGCGAGCGGCGCTAAGTTGAGTCTGATTTGTTACCTACGCGTGATCTTGCACCTGCTTGCCTCCTTATCAGTGTTACGGTTTATATATAAATATGGCATTCTGTCGAACTTTTTCTTTATTGAAGTTTGCTTCAGTTTATTTAATAATTAGTTGTGAATTAAAGCAAATTACTGTACATGCATTCAAATTTAAAAATTTCATCAGCATTTTCTATTGCTATTAAATTTGTAAAACTCTACTTAATTTATCTAAATGTATTTGTACTAATATGGAAAAAATGAAAATTTTCAGTCATGTAAGCATATTATTTGGAATTCACCTTTTGAATCTACAATCTTGGAAATGCCGGAATGACATTCTAATTAATGGGGAAAAGGTTACGTTGGACAAAAATAGCCAAGAACAAATGCCTTAAAGGAATAAAAATGCTGAGAGAGTATACATTAATAACGGTATCTGTTTGACATATCGTTTTTATGCAGGTACGTTTGTTAAACTTTGCCAAACATGGTTTATATATAATAAAATAGCAATATGGAATGACCTTGTGGCTAACTTGAGTAAATTATCTAAGAATAGGAATTGTAGTCTAAGCCGACTTGTGATTCTTCTCTTCAGCAACTCATCTGAATTTCAGTTGATACCGATGTCTGTAAAGAGGAAGAATAGAAGCGTAGGTGAATTGCGAGTGAGCAGTGGTGGGATGTAGGTGTCGGCTTTGTGCTGCAAGAAATGCAAAAGCATTGATTGTTAGCAGAGTTGATCTTTACGTCTGAACCAGTGGAGCATGATCCCCAATAATGCACCACTGAATTAATCAAACACTATTTCGTATCGAGACGACGCTGACCATTAGCAATAGGATTAATAGTCGCAATTTCGCAAATGGACGCATCCGACGCGACCCGGAGACAACTTGGCACTATTTATACGAAAGTGCTTCGTGCTTTTACCAATGATTCTTTTATTCTGGAACTACCTTTTATTTTCGTGCAACTCTTGAAAGACTCGTCGTTTTCTCTGTCTCGAACAATTTAGCTTTGCTCGCAGATCATTTCTGATTTTGAAATTTACGATAAAGATGATAATTCTAATTTTGAAATAATCTATTTTCTGTCATTTTATTTTATTTTTATTTTTATTTTTTTGTTGTTGTTATTTTTGTTTTCTTTTTTCCATTTTCTCTGGTTTTTATTTAACATATTTTTTCTTTTCTTCTTCTTCTTTTCTTGTTCTCTTTAAACCTTTTTTTCTTCCTTCGGGCTTACGGCCATATCACGTTGAAACACTGGTTCTCGTATGATCACCAAAGTTAAGCAACGTCGAACCTGGTCAGTACCAAGGTGGGTGACGGCTTGGGAATACTAAGTTCAGTAAGCATCGATGTGTAGGTGATGTAATGGATAATGGTCCGGTTAGTTATATTCACTTTCACGCAAAGTCTCTTGGGGGAGATGTTTATCCATCTCTTCTACCCCAAGCTATAGGTTAATTACTAAAACTTGTCTCAGTAAATCATTATTATCTCAAAATATTCTTACACTCTAAAAATATTTTCTGGCTTTAAATAAACAATAAAAGGTTGATAAGCCATAAAAAACAAAACAATCAATTTTGTTTCTGTGTCCTTAATCATTTTCTTTTATTTTTATCTAATTCGTTTCATTTTCATGTTTTCTTTTGATTCATTCTTTCTTTCTTTCTTTCTTTCTTTCTTTCTTCTTCTTCTTCTTCTTCTTCTTCTTCTTTTCTTATCGTCTTTTTCTTTTCTTCTTCTTCTTTTTCTCTTCTTCTTCTTCTTCTTCTTCTTCTTCTTCTTCTTACCAATGTCCCTCAAGGGCATGGGAACTCATGGCTCCGCACTGTAGCGCTTAATAATTTTTTTTATATATATATATATATAAGGAAATTGAAAATAGAATACTTCTCCCAACACAGCAAGTTACTAGAAAACCAAAACACTAACCTAAAATTTCAAGTCATCTTAAATAATTGTTGCAGCATACCTACGGACGATAATGTGCATGTTCCCATTCACATAAATATAGTAGTATATACTGTATGTTGGTCTGCCGTTGGAAATTCGTCTCCAGCTATGCTGGCCAAACTCTCTGCCTCCGGACAGAGAGGATTCCCAGACAAGGCTATGACGAAGGGCAGAGTCTCGTCTCGAGAAATAGCTACCCGACTCGGGGTCTACGGGGAATTTTTGGCCGAGCCTACGGGCTCGGATACCCCACATTAAATTCGGCCTTGTGCCATATCTGACCGCGTGTATGGTTGGTAGATATGCAGGTGGAGATTCATTGTGGAATTCAATTGACTGACTTCTAGCACTTGACAACTACTTCTACGCGACGCTGGCGAATCTTATATGTGTTGTTCTTGTCCAAAGTATTATCGTTCATTACCAACCTTCGTGTGATTATTCTATTCGGTAACCTTCCCTGAGTTACAACAATAACCTTGTTATATCTAAATTTTCATATAGATATCATGTATGGTACCAAACTTGTTCAGAAATATTTCAACTCTCAGCTATACACAGCCGTTTCCTCAGATCAATGGTTAAAATGGCTTTGAGCAAATGAAGCTGTTATGTCTTAGAGAGGACCTGCTACTTTATATCTCATGGACTGGGGTTACATAATCCAAAGAAAAAACGGTACCATATCATATAAACTATATCGCTTGAGGACATCCAACAGAAGCAACAATTAAAATTGGCAGCACATCTAACTGGAAGAGAAAATAATTACATAATCAAGATATTGGCATTTTCCATGACTTCAAACAAAAGGTCAAGAAGGAAATCCCCAGCAGTACTGGAAAGACTGATAACAACTACTGGACTTTGAAATCTATTTTCCTTTTTCAAGAGAAATCTTTCATAAATTTCAACAGAAATGATCACTAGTTACTCCGTAAATGGATGCCGAATCTTTCCTCATAAGGAAACGGCTTTTATTAGTATTACCATTACTATCCCCCTCACAACCTTTTTCTGTCATCTTTTTACACAAGCTCGCTCGATTGGCTACTCATTATTAATTCAAACTCGCTTATCTTCAGAAGACCCTCTGAGTGTCAATTTCTCCACGCTCCTTTCCTTATTTCAATTTATCTTTCTGATTTTACGTGTGTGTCTTTCTTAGTTCCATTTTCCTTAATACTTTTTATTTAGTCACATACCCTGTCCATGATATTCTCAGCATCCTTCTGTAGAACTAGATCACTGCTGCCTCATATCACTTCTTAATCTGTACAAAGACTGTCCAGCATACACTGCAATGTAGGCGGATTGATATTGCATAACAGTTCAGAAGTCTTTTCTTTGTTTTTAATGACATTTTCTTGTTCCTTAATACTTTGTTTAGCTTCTGAAAGGCATCTTTTGCTATTCGTATAGTAATAGAAAAAGATGCCTTCCAGAAACTAATCAAAGGCGTACCGATTTTAAGTTTTATTCTAGTTTTCTGAGTTCACTTTGCGTTATTGCTCTTACTAAGATTCCTTTCTTCCCTCCCCACCTGTGGGTTAATTAAATGCATAGATTCTGATGCATCACGACTAGAGGAACAACTCTGAATTTCAAACCATCGAGAAGATAGGAAAACGGTCTACCGTCATAGCTAGGAAACCATGGCAGTTTAATAAAGAAAAGGAATTTGGTGAGAGCCATAACCATCTCGAAAGAATCTATTTATTAATCATTTGTCAATCATTTGTCAATCATTTGTCCATGCATTGAATCTTGCTGCCACATATGGTCTGGTGCTTCTACTATGTATTTAGAGATTCTTGAAAACAATACACAGAAGGATCTGCAATGTTATTAGTCCTAACCTGACATTTCGGCTTCAGTCAATTTCCTACCATTGTAACGTAGCTTCCTTTTCTGTAAATACTTTCATTGTAATTGTTCTTTTGAGATTTGATACCTAGACATTATGAATTTAAGCGAAATACAAGATTGGCAGCTAGGTCTCATTTTACAATTGAACTAGAGGGATGTAACCGGAAGATCTATGCTATCCGTTTGTTCTCTCGCACTTCTCACCAGTGGAACTCTCTTTTGGCTTCTTGCTTTCCAGTTAACGCTGATTTTAACCATAAAAATGTATCTTTATACGTTGTTGTGGATTCCGGGGATGGAATCCTGCACAAATAAATAAACAACGCCAGTAATTGAAATAGAAAAATATGTGTATTAAACGTAAGAATACAAACTTGAAATGAAGATTAGTAGTCCAGGAATGCGGGTTAGTAGAAAAGTATATGTACAAGTCTCTGTAAATGAAGCCGTAATTATCTCTCTTTCTGGACTCTTGTATAACTCTGGGTGAACACCCTGTCTCGACGTTTTTCTCACGCTATCTCTCCGTAGTATAAGTATACTTTGGACGAGTCCATCTTGTGTACAAGGGGCGAGCCCCACAATATACGTTCATATTGTTTCATAGTGAAAATACCAGCAATGCATTTTCATAATAAAAATATATTACCAGCAAATTTTTTGTAAAAATAAAATACTCATGCTCCTAAGAAAATTACATTTCGATATGAAATGCCCCATAACGAGTTGATATACGCTAAACAAAGTAAACTTGTGTGAATGTATTTATTTTCATTTTTTAAATATTATGAAACCCCAACAAGACCTGCACAGCTGCCAATAAAAAAATTATAGTAAAGAAGTATTTTCTTTCTGGGTATATAATCTAATCTCGACCATCTCCTCACCCCATTGGATTAGAGAGTTGGAATCGGTAGTCATACCGATGCCAGCGTAACTGACGATTGCGGAGGTTGGGCAATTTTGTCCCTGTCCCGAGTGTACACGCTAGGGTTCCACACATTAACCCCGATCTTGAGTTACGCCCCGTCTCAGTGCGGAGACTTGGGTAAATACAATCTAATCCCGGTCAGAATTCCTACATAGAACTGAAAAAAAAAATGATTTGAGTTGGCACAAATATTCTTACAATTCATGCAGAAACTATGCTCGTCTAAAAATGGTCGCTTTCGGCTGGGCGCATGGGAGAGAAAAGTCTGATGTCATTAAAGCCTGAAACTTTGTATTACCCTAGAATAAGGAAGCATAAGGCGCGTAATATATGCATATAAAACATACATTTATTCTTGTTAAATAGCAAACTTAAATTATCTTTGCGTCAGTTCAAGTTGACGTCTTTCTCCAAACTCTCTGCGGCTTCTCGGTCTCACGCTGACTGCTGACCTGAGATGGAATAAATACATCGAGTCAATTGCGTCGTCCACTGCGAGGAAAGTTGGCTCCCTGAGCCGCGCTAGGAAGTTTTTTTTTCCCTGAGTCGATCCTCCAGATATACAAATCCACAATTCGCCCCCTGCATGGGGTATTGCTGCCATATATGGTCTGGCGCCCCTTCTGTTTGCCTCGGGGTTCTTGATAGGCTCCAGAGGCGGATATGCAATATGGTTGGCCCTGCCCTGGCGTCTCATCTACAGTCACTTTCTCACAGACGCGCCGTCGCCTCCCTCTGTCTGTTCTACAAATACTTTCATAGAAATTGCTCCGAGGAGTTGCATTCGCTGGTTCCCAGACGTCATGAGTTCCAGCGCCCTACGAGGCTGGCATCCCGCTCTCACCCCTTCACTGTCGTAACTCCTAAATGTAGCCGTCTCTTCTACTCTAATAGCTTCATGTCTCGCACCTCTCGCCTGTGGAACTCCTTCCCTTCTCCTGTTTCCCTGTGAGCTATAATCTCCAGCTATTCAAATGTAATGTCAATCGACATCTCCAGTTGCCTTAATCTATCCACTACCCTCATCCTTTCTTCTATCACTCCTATCTGATCTTGCTATTTCCTGTAACCCCTTGCATCCTAGTGGCTTCCCGCCTTGCTTGGGGTGAAACATTAAAAATATATATATATATATATATATATATATATATATATATATATATATATATATATATATATATATATATATATATATATATATATATATGGTGGCATACGCCCATATCGCGTTGAAACATTAGTTCTCCTAAAACGACCAAAGTCAAAGTTAAGCAACGTCGAACCTGGTCAGTACCTAGATGAGTGGCCGCTTTGTAATACTAAGTGATGTAAACTTGTATGTGAGGCTAGTGTAATGGGTAACGGTTCGGAATTGGAAATCAGAGAACTAAGTTCCAATTCCTGTTGGGTTCGTTATATTCCTTTACGCGCAAATAGCCTCAAGGAAGGTATGAATAAATGACTTCTCCTCCCAGCTATGGGTTAAATACTATGACATGTATCAGCAAATCGTTATTATCTCTAAATGATTCTTAAAATCTAAAAATATTTTCTGGCATTTAAATAATCTGACAAAAGGTTGA